AGAAGAATAAGTATAATCATATACCTGTAGGCAGGAATCGGGTACGACTGAGCGGGGCATATCAAAGTCACACTAGTCACCACTAGCGCTTCTAAAGTCTGGATTTTTGAGATGCCGGCAGTGAGTCGGGGCGCGACACTGCCGATGGGTTCTAAGAGAAAAATGTTCCGGTGAAATTCCGTGAATTTACCTGAATTTTGGAACAGGAAACGCTTGCATGGGACACTGCATGGTTAGAACCGAATTTTTGCCGCTCATTAAGTCCCTGCTGGCATCTCCGGAAGTTAATTTGGGAATAACGGTACCGATGGGTTCTAGCAATGAATTTCAAAATGAAAACACCTTAAAGGTAAATGTTGGCATACGAACACCCTTGCGCTACTAGGGACCTACCTATAAACAGGGCTAGGAAAAGCCTGACCAGGACATAACATGGCTAGAGCTTGACCAAGTAAGTAATCATCGACAGGGGGCATTTTAACGATTTTGGGCGCCACACTGCTGACTGGCTCTATAAGACATTGCTAAATTCAGGAGGATCGTTTCGATTTACCTGTATGTTGGGGCAGGAAATGCTTGAGCGGGACAAAGCAGGGTGATGCTTTCAGCCTGATGTCCCTTAAAACTCATCGAATCTGCTAGAGTTGAGAATTTAGGCAGTAGCCTAGCAATGGGTTCTATAAAACAATACGTCCGTTCTTTGGTGACCGCAAGTGTAAATGTGGAAAATATGCGAAAAATTTACCTGTATGTGGGTGCAGGAAAAGCTTGTGCCGGGCATAAAAGAGTGATACTTTCGTCTTGGTTTCCATTAAAACCTCTTGAATTATCCAAAGTGGGGAACTTGGGCTTGACGCCAGCTACAGGTTCTAAATGAGTTAAAGAAACATGTCCATCGTGAGTTAAAAAATGTGTAACTCGCTCAGTGAAACAGCAGCAGGGAGTGACTCAGGCGCGAAAATGTTAACACTACCAATCAATTCAGATATACCTGGTCTTTATAACTGGAAACCCTTGGGCGGGGCACAGCAGATTTAAAGTAACGTTTTCGCAAAACACATATTCCTTTCTGGTTTCCAGAGGAAATCTCGGACCGACGGTTCCGACAGGTTCTAGAAGAAGTCGAAAACATTTGCCCAACATTGCGCGAAACTTACCTTGCTGCGTGTTATATACCGCCAAGCAACAGTTATGGGCCAGGGTACCCACTTTTACAGCATTCTGCCCCTTCAGGTGGCGGACCGGGATCTTACGGACAGGGGAAATGGTGGACAGTAGGACAGGTTATTCAATGTTGAAGCTCATTTAAGCAGTTTCAGTTAAATCAAAAGTGTTCTTTATAGTGCCCGAGTGAAGCAAGGGTACCCTATCCCAACATTCAGGTAAATTTTTAACAGTAACTTTGACAAAACATGCTTGGATGCTTTCTCATAGTTATCTGGAAATGAAAGACTCCAACCTCTAGCTGTTAGAGGCCGGAGTCTTTGTCTGCTTTTTAAGGAAGTTAACTAGTCGAGTTAGAGCAAGTGAATGCGAACAGTTTAGAGAAATTTCCTTTCAAAGCAGTTCTTATGGAAAACCAAAGTCCGCGAGATCATTTACTGAATGTCTGCAAGGTTCTCCAATAAAATAAACCATGATTGGTACAAAACAGAAATGGACTGGCAGTATTAAGTAAATGATTGTACAGGATGTCCCATCGGTGATCGACGCGATCGATATCTGGCAAACCGTAATTAGGAGAAATTTGAAAAGTGGACAGTGTCCCGACGTCATTGGATGCA